GACGCGTTGAAATGACGCATTTATTTTATGAAGTTTCAACGTATATGGAGCGGCACAATCTCGCTTGCCGCCTTGTTAGCATTAAGCACCTATTCACTAATATTTCATACCTTGTTCATATACGATATATTCGAACGGTGTTTGCCTCAGTAGATCTGTCACTAGCACGAGCGTGCGGCAATAAGTTATGCATACGAAGGCAGTCAGCTTCACCAAGACGTGTATATTATCGATGCGTGTTCCCCTGCGGTATTAGTTCAGGACTATGCCGTATCACGCGAGGATACAGCATTAGTTGGATGATGTAGAGCAGTCATCGTTGTAATCGCCCATGCCTTTCTCAAAGACGTCCCGTGGCCGCATTGAACTGTACGCTCTACGCGATGAATCCATACTCCACGAACGCGTACTTACATATCGCGTTTGTGTTGACGACGTTGGCGTATGTACAATTTGTTGGAGGCTAAGGCCCGATCGACATCAAGAGATATATTTTATTGCATTACACACCCGGGAAGGCTCGCGGCAGAGTGCGCGCGCTAAGAAATTAACGAGCGACAGTCGCGGACAAAGGAGAGGCTCGATCCAACAAGGAAATCGGTTCTCAGGTATATCCGGTATAGAACACAACGTGAAAGATGTTATTGATGGTGGGGAGTAATTAGTACGTCCACTAGAATCGTTTGTCAAAGCAGAAATATGGTTGCCCATATCAATGAGAAAGCACCGTGTGCCAGTATTGAGGACTGAAACTTAATAAATCCCATCGGGATTTTACCTGGCGCATTGATTTTGCAAGAACTGGTCGAAGGCATGTCTGCTATTTATTTTCATTTATTCTACTCACAATCAGCAGTTTTTGTAATTACTTATTTTATACTCCTTATTATGGAGACTTATATTCTCGAGATCGTATAGCGGATTATAACAAAGCCCCGTGCGATTAACAATCGTAATGCGTTATTAAAAGCTTAAATCTCACAATATTTCAACGATAATTGTTTACAATAAATATTACAAAATCATTCAGAATTGATAAACCTACTCGTTTTTATATCTACGCATATTTAAGTTGTGTTCCAATGTATTTAATTTAATAAATAAGATAAAATAAAAAAGATAAATATTTCGAAGATCAGCCATATCCATCTATAATACTTTGTACACTTGCAAGAGTTTTTGTAACAATGCAGGAATTTCTACAATTGAGATACTTCCACGCTTTATACAATCTCAGAAACACGTATGACGCAGCGAATGGTTCAACGTACGACTGTGAGAAAGACCTTAAGGACTCCTCCTGAGACGTGGGCGTGCAGACGGACGTGAGATGCAGTAGTGGGGCAAGATGAGGACGAGTACTGTAAGCCGCCAGTTCACCGACAACGAGTTCGCCAAACCGTCGCGCAGATAAGTCGGGCACGAGAAACGGAACACCTGAGCTTTCGTCCTGTCCCAGCCTAACCCTTCCTCTTCCTTACCTCTTCACCATCGTTTCTTTTTACCTCTCCTGACCCCTCACCAGCCAGCGACGCCTATCGAATCGCACCGAGTCCTCCAACTTTGGATACCGAGACCGGAGTGAGGACTGCACTCGCCGAGGAAGGATGGCTTTGCACTAACTCACCCACGTGGGACGTACATTTCCGAACTCTCTCGTCATCGACCCTTTTAGCTCAAGCCGCCTTACACCTTATGAAGCACCTACGAACAAGGTCGTATCCGTCGGAGGGATCAATCACAAGATCCTGGAGGGTAACATCTGGTCCAAGGTCTAAGGTTCAATCGAGGCCACCGCATGATCGGTGAAAATAATCTGCTGCCGCGAAAGGTGCCGCTCGATGACCTAATTTATCTCTGATTTACGAATGCTATCAGTTCACCTTATTAATGCATAAGAGTACTTAGTATTAAACATGAAGTGATACAAAACTGTTCATTTATACTTTCATATGCGTACGCTCAAAAAATTCTCTTATTCTCTTAATTTTATAAATTTTAATTTGATATTTAATTTTAATTTAATATTATTAAGTAAATGCAATAAAAAATATATCAAATGGCAAGTCTAATTTGCTGAGACTAAACAATTGTCTTTCACAATTGTCTTTCAAATTATATACATATTTATCAAGAACAATGGTTCAAAATATTCAGTATGTTGTATACGGAAATTATTGCACACAATTTAATACATGTACAAAAATTCGACACCTAAATAAATTCCGAATCCATACAAAATTCGGCAGACTTCCTTATTTCTATTTTTAGTCTCTTTACTGTAGTCTATCCGACATCCGGTTGTTGTCGAACAGGTGTAAAAATAAGATAAAGTCATCTCGTCTGTATTATCTAAGTTTGTTGAAGGATTTTCTTTGTTATGCCGGAGAACAACTCCTTTGTCGTAACCATATCACATGGAAGATAAACATGTGCATGTATTAACAAAATTATTAGGTAGTAAATGGATATAAATTTGCGCGTCATGTCGCACTAAAGTAAACACTGAGATAATCACACGGAATTAACGTCACCTCGGCCATCATATCAGTCGAATTTATCATCTTATTGCATTTCACTGCTGATAACATTGCGATACATCGACTTTCCATCGTGAAGCGGATGAGTAAGCCAATCGTGGATACTAAAGACTTTTCGAACGGTGTTCATCCCGTGCATACAAAGAAAAATAACTCGTACCTTTAATTCGTCAGCGATTAACTTTCTGCTCTTTGTGATACTGTATCTTACCGAGGTATTGCCACATGCCGGCAGCTATCTCGTTCAGTCTTCTTAAGGAATAAACGACGAGAAGGAAAAGGATAAGATGAATAGTACGCGTCCTATCGCGCGCGCAGTATTCGAGCAAAACAAATGGTACCGGAGGCCGCCTACGTCCCCTTCGGCGTCCAACGAATTATCCGCTGCCTCTTTCCGTTCTACGCCATTGCACGCGCTAATGATATTTTGCGACTCCGCGCACTCGTTACCATATCAATAATTCCCTATAAGCTCATATAACGAATATATTTACCTCTATATTTAAAAAATCCTACGTTCTCTCCCGCGGTTAAGGATGTTAAAAGCATTCTTCGTATCTATTTAAGATGCTAATTGATCGTATGTAAATACTAACGACTAAACATTTCATCCTTACGCGACAGTATTCAGCTAATCATGTACGTGAGTGCTGTCTTACTACATTCTGAGACTATCAAAAATCAATTATATGGTACGAGTATAATTAATATTATGCAGCACGGCAGTTGCACAGTCATAAGAAACTTTTCGTACAGATATCAGTTAATATGCTAATTTTCACCGTCAGTTTTCTAAGATTATTCAGGAATACACGCATATACGAAAAATTCATAAAGAAGTTAATTCAAGACAATTAACTCTTACCGTACCATCTACAATTTGATGCCTCCATATATACCATCAAGGGTCATTAGAATGTCTTCGTTTTTTTCACCTCTTCAAAATAATTCAAAAAATTTCTAAAAATTTACCAACATACTTTCAACTTTCTAGACTAAATATTGACTCTTTATTTTGGAAAATAATAAAATGTAGTATATAATTTATAATTACCGAAAGACACTCAAAGAAACTTGCACGAACAGGAATCGCTCGGTCACTAGTTACCCATATTAGTACGGTAAGGGTTAAAAATATGTTAGTGGTATGGAGATACAGCGTGTAATGCTCGTTGCGCACGTTTAACACCACGAAATTATTATGCAAAAATAACGTCATTACAGTTACAAGTGTGCACATATATCTTTCCTAGAAACGTAATCTGATTTTAGATTTCTCAAAAAAAAAAAATTGTTGAGGCTCGTTAAAACGTATTGAAAGTCACCCTGGTTCCGGCACGCCGTCAGCCTCGCCATCTAAAGCGACACACCGTGCCACGTTCGGCGGTGATACGGAATTACTTCAAGAATCCCTCGCGGGCATAGGCGACGTTTGCGCTCGGATCGAGATCGGCGGGCAGTCATACGTGTGTGCGTAGTCGTACGAATGAAAATGCACATGCGTGGCTGTCCGCGCGTGTCAGGACACGTGAGTGTAACGCTCGAGCTTGGTAACGCCCGTAAGATCGCTTATTGGTTGCCAATCCCAACGCTTTTTGCCCATAAGAGAAATTGGCGCATAATGGAGGTGCGGTACCAGTTCGCTGACTAGATTTACGAGGAGACTGTCTTGAAATTATTGTCGCGCGTTTGCCTCGATTCGCCGACACGAGCAACCGATAAGACGTTCAAAATTCGCGAACTCGCCCTGGGACCAGTGCTCGGCGCGTTGTTCCCGACGATAAACTTTCGTCGTGGCTCGCGCCGAGTGTCACGACGATGCGTGTTCTTTTCATGGAGGTGGGACAATACTATCGTGATCGGAGGTGGATGCCCGTGCGTCGTGCTATAAATTGCAATATGCAAATTTAATAAGCGCGCTGAGCTACATCGTTCCTCACCGCGCGAATCTTCATTGCGTACGAATCCCGAGACTGTATCGCTATCTTGTCGCGAACGAGCATCGTTAATGCAGGATGGACAAAAGGGAGATTTATATGAAAGAAGACTATACAGTCATACATTTAAAAAAATTCTTTTAATCTTCTATAAAGAGATTTATATTTTAAAAGTTAAAATTTATTTGTTTCTAAAATTATTTGATATAGGATACTTTTATCTTTTTATTAGAGAGTCCAACCTTTTACCGAAACTGAAAACGAACACTCATTACGTATCAATTTCGCGATTAAAACCATATAGCTCTTCTTCATAAATATTAATTTTAATATGTGTTATTATTGTTTTCAATAATTAAATTATGATGTTTATGAAGAAGTACTTATATTCTTTGGCCAAAATTGACACACAACCGAAATTTCGGTTTTCGATTTCGGCCGAAATTTAATTATTGTTTCAATAAATTATGATATTTATGAAGAAAAAGTATTTGATATATGCGGGCATGTTTACATATGGACTTTGTAGGATTGCTATTTTTTAATTTTGGTTTCGGTTTCGATTGAAATTGACACGTAGCCGAGTGTTTCGGTTCAGTTTCGGCAAAAGTTTTGGTCGGACTCTACTTTTTATAAACCGTGTAACTCAAAATTAAAATCAAGATCTAATTTTGTTTAACTCATTATCTACATTAAAAAATGAAATTCCTACATTTTATATTCCAATTTTTTTAACTTCACTGTAATGCATGACTATAATAATTGATGACTTATCTTATCTTAATTATATATTTATTTGTTGATAATATCCAAATTCTGTAGAGATTTAAATATTCATAATGTAAAGCATATGAAATGCATAGAAAATGTGCGAAACTATCAAAAGAATTTGTCTATTGATTCACAACTGACATATTTATTGATAATATTTTAAAAATATGGTACTATCTACACACTACTTCCATACTAAAAATGAGTGTTTATTATCTATAGAATTTACACCCGCGTAATCTTCTAAGACTTTAATCGCTTTGAAGACGCCGATTGAGCGTGACATTGATATTGGTAGGAAAAATCATACGTCATCCGTTAACGAGCACGGTGTGGCATCGCTATCGCTATTCGCATGCTCATCGCGGACTCGCAGATGAACGTATAATTACATCGTATCGACAACAGGCGTGCCTGACCCGCGCAATGCGCGACGCTCTGTGATTTACAGTTGCGCCGCTTGAATTAAATGCAATTAAGTCGCAGTAAATTACGTGCGTCCCTGCTGAGACCGACAGATAAATCAGCGTCGTGTTTGCCTTCGCGTGTAATCGCGACGAGTAAGGGCGACGCGAAGAAAAAGAAATGGCGAAGAGCAGCGAACGTAGAAGAGAATGGCGACGATGGGGAAGAAAGCAAGAGATACTCGCTGATGTTGCAGGGGGATGAAGGAAGCAGGGGAACATCGCGAAGAAGACGAAGGAAGAGGAGAAATCGGCCGGCGGCGAGGAGTACAATGGCGCTTGCATGCGCACGCCTGTGTTTACTCTTTGCAGAATCTCTAGAATGCGGACAGGGGGAGATAGCATGTACTGTACCGTAAGGGGGTGTGCACACGTGCTGCAGTTACCCTCCTCTATCCTCTCTCTCTCTCTCTCTTCAGTCTTCCGTTCCGTCTGCAGACCGTCTCTCGCCTCGGGGGCCGCGCACAAATAACTGTCCGCCCGTAAACTCCCGCTACGACACTCGAGAGGTAGGAACGTTACACCTATTCCTCCGGCGGCAATCGGCGATCGTCGAGGTTGCCTCGTTATAAGAATGAGATTCGCCGTTGCCGTTCTCCCGAGGTCGCCGCTGCCGGGAGCAAAAAACGCTCTACCGACGCGTAAAAATCGGCCGCTACGATATTTCACGCCGGCGACAGCGAGTACCGGCTTGGCACGCGTGCTCTTTTTTGTGCATACCGCCATTGGGCCTGACGTTTTGATGCCGGTTTAATTGATCGACACTCACACCGTTCCAAAGTCTCACGTAACGACATGACAAATGATAGAATGATTTTTTCAATCATACACCTTTTATCCGCTCTATGGTGAATGTGTTTTTCTACCAACTACTCCTGTTTAGTGTTACAAATCTATGCATACATACCTATATTATGTTCGAAACTATTAGTTAATTATACGTTTTCGTAATTTGTTTAATTTTGTATAGTTCTTATTTAAATTACTCAATCTTTTAACCTTTATAGGACAAGAAAGCCACTATATAGTGGCTCTGAAATAGTGTCACGTATTGAGGCATAAAATACAATAAAAAAATAAATTATAACAAATCTTACTCAAGAAAAAGTTGTAAAATTTAAAAAATGGCCTTACCTTTTAAAGATTAATATCAAGTTTCCCAACACGACAACAATGGAATTAATGGGATGAATCTAAAACCATGAATTCATTGTTTAAAGTATCAGATATATGTATGTTGCTTTACACTCTCTTTACAGAGTTACAAAAGATAAATGCACGAATGTGTATTTCCAGGGCACTAAATTAATACGTTATCATCGCTGCTGGAGACCGTAGAACATGGAAGGGAATCGCCTAGCAAGGGAGGAAATATTTTAATGACGTGACGTCACGGTTAGCAGGTTAATAAGGTCGTGTGGGCGCGTCCTGGTAATAAAGTGCACGCTTATCCGAGCTCATCCTTTAGTCCATGCGAGCGCCAGGAAGGCACCTTAGCGATTCGCGCGCGTAGCTTTCGCATCCTCTTCTCCTTCCATTCTGTTATATACTCCGCTGCGCCGGCCTTAATTTACATATCTCTGTATCAACGCTACTACCTTGCTTCACCAGGCGCATACTTTCAGCGACACGCAGCGAGTTTGTGTTTCACGATATGTTCTCCTCTACGGAGTCTCTTCTCGCAATGGGCAAGGAGGTTACCGGGATTGTAGGTGGTTCCAGATTTTCGCTTTTGTTAGCCCTATCAAGCTTGGTTGGAAACATTTACGTGCAGATGTATACCACAAGATCCGCGTATCAACGTCACCTCCTACGGCCGTCATCTTCGACGAAAGAGGACACTCGAATATCGTGGTAGCCGCTCATAAATATGTTGACTATGTTCGCCAGATGCTATGGGAGTTGTAACTACATTCCTGCTTCCTCTTCTGCTGTGAAATTTACTGTCAAACGACAGATAGAAAGTGACCAGTTTATTTACTGGAATATAATGTAGTCACTTAAATAAACATTATATAAAAGAGAAACTGTTTTGTATGTATAATTTTATATATCTATTTATATTAAAATATATGCAATGTATCGTAACTTTCTCTCTATAATAAAGTATTTATGTTTGTACTTGAATTACGTGTATTTGATTAACAAGTGCGAAATATTATCTCTTTTTTTCTTTGCCCCGGAAAATTTGATTTACATTTACAGTTATCGAATTATATATTTTGACGTTTTTATTTTTTTTGGTAGATATTTCAAGAAAAATTTTTATTCCGTAAATGAGAAAGTGATTTGTGTACATTGACAATCATTACGCATTATTGCTTCGTATCTACAAAGTAATAATAGTATTTGGCGTTAGTCGTTCAGTCTGGAACACGATTAACAAACATGTCGGACGTCGATAATCCGATAGATACATTCTACCAAGAATACCGATTGTATCTAGATAGAAAATCAATAGTCCCGGGTCGAATCGGGCAACGTGTCATTTACTATCAATTGCTGTTATTACATATATTTTTGTTGCTCGTCATGCCCGCGAGTGTGCAGTTGTAGAAGAAAGCACCAGTGTGCCAATTATTATCACAGTAAATTTCCCGATCAGCTTTCTCCGATTATCCGCCAGCTGATTTTACGTTTCTGTTTCTTCCTCATGAAGGAGTCGCAATGTACGGCCATTGACCAGGAGAAATCCTACGTTATTAATTAATCGCATACTCATCTAACTAAATACTAAGGTCTACATTCGCGCCATGCATTCAGCGTTAAATATGGCTGTTCGATCGCTCACGTTCTGTTTATATTAATTATTATCTTCGTATTCGATAGATTCAGAATCAGACAGCCTCATTCAGCGTTAAATGCGTGATGAGGATAGGGATCTAAGTGCTGACATCATATGGATTTAACCGCGACTTGAAACGCGTCTGGAGATAAATCTTGAGACGGCATTGGTAATTATAACTATCATTCGATCAGTCTTTAACAACAAAACAACAAAATCATTTTTTCATTAATCAAGTATCAACAATGTATTATATATAATATTTTTCTATTTACCTTACAATTTAAATACGTACTGTAGCGTTTTTTCAGTCAATATGAAATCCCAACAATTGCATTGAAGAATGACTGTACGAATTAAGTGAATATAATTACTGAAGTTTCATATAAAATATAGTAGAAAATATATATTATAGGGTATTACGGTTTAATGAGATTTAATAAGACATCTTTGACGTCACAGAACTGAAAATTAAATAATGTTGTCTATTTTTAATGCTCAACAGCGAGAATAGGGGAAATCCTTAGATAAAATCTCGAATTCATTGCATAATGTAATTATTTCGCTTATTGTTCACAAATGCACGTCATTCCATAAGACCATCGGTCTTTCCTAGAACGTCAATGGAGAACGCAATTTTCGTGCCCAACATCGCGTGCAATCGTCCTGTCGAAGGATGACTAGTCAATTTTTTTTCACGTAAAACGTAAAACGTGTACTTTCGAATTTGAAAAGAATATGTCGCAAGTGAATATGCGTCATTTTCTTTTCACAATACGCGTATCTCCAGTTCATTTGTTCGTTATTATGTCTGGTATATATCCGCCTACCTTGAAAGTTTCAGAGAATATGCACGCGTCTTTTATCGTCGTTATTTAACATGCTTGCCACAAAATCCCGTCCTGTGTAATAAAAATGTAAAACTCTCTCCTGACAAGACGTAAACCTAATGTTGTTTCTACGAGCAACGGCGCAATACCTGTGACAAGAAAAGTGCAAATATCGCATATACGTATATCCGTTTTACGAACTCTGCGAGCAGACCTCAAGATGCGGCAATGCCTCGGCAACCAGGGATTAGATTCACTGCTGGAAGAACGTCTTCGTTTCATTGCAGGTTTATTTAAATACGTATTAATATTTAATACTCTCTCTCTCGCAATGTTTAAGTGGGAGTTGGCTCTCGTTGGCCGGCGGGCCCTATATAATTACAGCCGGCCCACACCCGCGGAGAAAATGAAAAAACGTGCAGCGGTATAAAGATCCGGCTGCCCCGAAAATAAAAGTAACGAGGTTATCAAACTTTGATGTTTGGTGCCATCTTATATACTCTTATTTAAAGCCTAAAACGAACTCGGTCGTTTCGTTGTAAGTCACCGAGACCCGATCGTCGAAGTAATGCGGTAAGCAACGTGCAACGATCGTGCAATTAAAATAGAGACAAAAGAACAGATTGCGAAGATAAGATCAGGGAGGGGCCAGCATCTTGTGAAAACAAACGTTATCTTCGTGTCATCAACATTCTTGGCCAAAGTCATTACTGTCGCTTTTGTATCCGGTGTCTGTAATATTTGTACCAATAAACGATGAGTAACAAGACGAGCAGGAATCCCCGCAAAATGACGTATCATTATGCGTATTCGCTCTCATAACGGCGGCACTGAAGTAAGGATGAAAAGGAGTCGATCAAAAGAAAGAGACCTGACCGGCAAAGGGAGGGCGAGAGCAAAGCGTTTTTCGCGATTTTCTCACGAGGATAATTTCGACGATTAGTGCAAAAAACCAGGGTCCACCACACGGAGCGGTGAGCGCAGGAAAATGACAGACAGAAATTGTTTTGCCATGCTATATAATTTACAGGGCCGCAACCATCATGTATCATTTGCGCAAATTATAAATTCGTTATTTCACAATTATCGTAATGCATTTGCTGCTGACCTGGTCACGTCGATATTAATACGCGGTGCCTGTAAAATTCGTTAAAATAAAACGCAGATGCGACTGAAATTCCCACATTCGAAAATCGTACAAGTTACTGTGAAAATCTTTCACAAAAATTTAATTTAATACTAAAAGATACTAATTAATTACTTATTTTTAGTATGAAAAGAACTATTGTTCAATGCTTAATAATTAATTAATCAGTACTTCCAGTATTAAATTTCCGTAAGGGATCTATGGAATATCATTAACTTGCAGATAATATCAATCTGATTTAATAATAGAATTTTTAATCTAATTCGTTTGAGTCACAAAGCATTATCAAATATATTAGGCATAATTTTTTTTTATGTTGTTACATTTATTATAGTTATTATTCAGCATGATATTAAAAAATTTTTTTCTTATCTGATGTATGCATTATATTTTACGCTTTATCACATTTCACTCTACAAAATCTATTATTTATATCTGCGGAAAAATACGAAAAGATTATATTGATTTAACTTTTATTGCAAGAAACAACTGGAACTTTAATAGCTAAATGTATGCTGTATATATATATATCTATATCCGGTTGTAAGAGCCATTATTTACACTTGAATGCGCCCCTGCACCCATGACTCGTATTCTACCTCGCGGAGAATCGACTCGTTGTATTGAAAAGGGGTCTCACGGAAGCTTCGATCAATTGTGAAGATCGTGAAGGATCGCGGCTACTGTCAAGTGTACTGCCAAGATCGCTGGTGTATCGTAACCAGTTTGTGGGTGCCGACGCGACTAGAATTAATTCGTTCCGCAGCGTGAACGCGCGCGCACGCGTTGTGTTCTCATCGCTTTATCGATCTCGTAAAAGGTTCTAAGAGCGTGTGCCTCACGAAGACATTGTTATTGAGATTTCTTATGCAGTCACAGCGACGATACTGTACCGGCTTACAAGTGACTTATATACATTTAAATGTGACCATTACAGCCTTGATCGCGGATTTTACGTTCGCCATCGTGTTTGAACGTATACCATCATCGATAAAATAATTTATCCTCGTCCGCATCTTATCACGAAATCCGCTTAGACGAAAACATTACGTGAATGTATAACTGTGATTCATGAATTTTACATTGCAACGCGATCATTTACGCACGAAGAATTGTATAGTAAATAATCGCAAACAAATGATCTTTTTCTTACACGAATTTACGTTAATTTCAGGAAAAATTTTTCTCAATTAGAAATAAAGTATGTTAGATTTTAAAATTAATCTCCGGAGTTGATGTAAAAATTAATCTGTAACAGTTAATAACGTTGGATTTGTATATAAGACCAATTTATATTAATTAATAAAGATAGTAATTAATTTCAAGAAACCGAAATAATACATATAGCTCATATAAAATAAGAAAAGTATATCTTAATAAAAATAATCTAAATTTGTAGATATACAACATAAAGAAAATTAAATTATTTGACATTTTTTATAAATAGATTTACGATTAAGTAGGTCCAATAGACTTACTTTTTTATAAATAGATTTACGATTAAGTAGGTCCAATAGACTTACTGTCAGCTCTTATAGAAAGTAACTGTAATTATAATTATCATATGATATTAACAAATCAAATTGTTAATGCACATTGGTATTCGAAGTCAGATGACGTAAAGTACAAGTTTGGAAAAATTATATAGGATGATCCATTTTAATCCATCTAGTAGAATATCTCAAAATCTTTAAGTTTAAGACAAAAATGTTTCAGACAAAAATTATTGCTTACAAGGGGAAAAAAGATGGTGATCTTTTTTTGGTTGACTTTGAAAAGATGTCTTTAAAAGATCAGGACAAAATTACTTAAAATTTTTTTAAAGGAATTATACACATTTTTTCTTATATAATTTCTCTAATTACACAGAGTAACATGGAAAAAACTGTTTAACCGTTTTAGTTGTATCTAATATATTCTTTAGTCTGAACTTTTGTCTGAAATATTTTTGAAATATTTTTTTAAACTTAAGGATTTTGTGATATTCTACTGGAAGAATTCAAATAGACTACCTTGTATAAACAGTTAGAACAGTGCTAACAGATTTCTTCGATATGTACACGGGGATTTCCTAGATTGTCGGATAGACGATAATTTGCGTCTTATGCGAAAAGTCAGAAATAACAGACGTACGTACACAATTGTATCATACTGCTTCCGGTTGATCTTCTTCCAATTATAGTGATACGAAATGGGTGCGCATGAATCTCTTCTTGGAAGGTCTGATTCGATCGTAGGAAAATATTTAGACGCTGTCATACAGCGCCGTCGCAACGTCATCGTGACGTTGTATTGACGATGACGTAAGAATGCTTCGGCGAGACGTGACGAGCCGCTCGTGCAAGCGACTTGGAGTATACAATAAGGGATGCTTGCAGCCTGCAGAGGCGGCGTTAATTTTCTTCTATTTTTAGCACAGGCTCGTCTCGCGTACTACAAGAAAGTGTGAAATAGTGAAATTACTCGCGTTCTAGCAGACAGAAGAAAGACGTTCTCTGACGGAGATAAACTTTTCCTGCACTATTATGCTGTTCTATTATTACGAAATATTATATAAGTTACACTCTAAATTTCCTACAGTGAAATCTCACTCCAAGAAAATGAAAATGCAACATCCTTGAAAAAAAGTGAAAATATTTCACTTCTTGAAAAAAGAGTGACGATCTTCACTCTTTTTAGAGTGAATTTTCATTTCAAAAAAATGAAATCTCATTCCAAAAAGTAAGATTTCACTCTAAAAAGAGTGAAGATCATTTTTTTTTTCAAGAAGTGAAATATTTTCACTTTTTTTCAAGAGTGGTTGCATTTTCACTCTCTTGAAGTAAGATTTTACTGCAAGAAATTTAGAGTGTATGTAATATAAGATTACATAACTTAGATTAGATTAGATAACTTAGATTAATTAACGTAAGCTAATTGATGTTACATAGGACGAAGTTCTTTCTCTCTTAATTAAAAATACGATTATATCTCCTACAAAATGATAAAATTTCTTAAGAATCTTTATTTTCATACAATACTGAGATTGTAAAAGTATTATAATAATCTTTCTCTATTTGGAATAACGCTACGATTGTATCACTGATAAAATGAGAAATAATTTGGTTATCAGCATTTCTATAGAACGGCAATATTTCAGCATTATATTCATAATCAAAGATTTTAGATATCATACATAAATCTTTTACATATATATATATATATATATATATATGTATAGATTTATCAAAACTCGTATAGTTATTAAAATATTTTCGAACATTCTTAATACAAGATACGGTACGTCTTTCAAAGATTATCTGTTAATGAAATAGATCACGCGAAGTAGCAAGTATTTCAAGATATATATTTCACCCTGCCCTCGTAATACGCAACCGTGGAATATTTATGAAGACATATGCATACGGGGTGGAAGTTTGTCAGCAGGACATTCAGACAGACCGGCATCGGCTCTTGGCTAATGGACGTGTCATCTCGTTATTAATTGCAGCCGCAGGCGACCTAATTCAGTCACGTAATCGGTATCTTGGTTAACTTTCGACCGGTGACGCAGATAATCGCTGCACCGGTCGATTAATATGAGCCATTAGGTATCGAGAATGTTGGATGATGGCTGATACCGGGTGGCACTCGATATAATCGAAAAAAATGAAGCAGCTTAAAACACTCGAAACCAGCGACCACCGTGCTCGCACCGATAGCGTTCTGTCACCATAAAACTCTACCATCTACTTCCATATGTCGCGAATGAAAGATGTATCGGACGTATTTGTGCAGTCACCAAGAACACTGAGAATTATTTCTTACTTTAAGTTGCACTCAAGAGGACCCACGTGTTCCATATACCTCGACACGTTATTGCTCGTTCCATGGTCTGCACTCCGACCGGTTTTTCACTTACGATTAGATACGTAAATATTTTCGAGGGTTCGTCTACAAGAGGAAGAGTCGACACCTTCCAATCTGTAGTCCTACAAAAGGCTCAGTGAATCTTGGTGAACTTTCATTGCAATGAACTGGTGCCACTCATAAAATAAACAAAAACTAGCACGGTATATGTATATTACTGTAGAATTAATTCGGCTGCTGATGACTAGATTGTAAATGTCTACGATTAACATTGACTCATTCGTTATTTGCCAATTGCACTAGCTCTTATCTACTAAGCATCGTAAAGTCCAATAAGTGACTCACTTCTTTGGCGTATCAATTGACATATCAATAAATCGTATATCGATCTCATAAAACGATCCCGCATTTAATTGTCCCAATCACAATTGTCACATAGCAGAGATATTAACAGGAAAATATTAGAATTAGCCTTATCATAAAGTACATTGTACTACATTGTACGTAGTTAAAATCTGCATATCCCCGATCTGCGCAATCTCGCATACTCACGTGATGCTCTCTCTTATCTCCTACACACTATTGAACTATTCCCACCTCCGAAGACAGGCTGAATTCATGAATGGAAAGGCTCTCGAGCCTTTACACCTCCATGCTCATGGAGAGATACCGCCCGCGTACGAAAGTTCGCGGAAGAGAAAGTCCCCGATGACGATGACATCATCACTACCATGGTCATGGTCTCTGTCGATTCTGGATCAGAGACGCGTGCCGAAACCCAGAACTTTCCAATGACCTTTAAATACTAATAGGAGTTCAATGAAAGAATATTCGATAGAAGAGTTAGCTCTTTTATCTCGCCTAACACTGCAAAAGTACTAAAATATCCTTAGACCATTTAAAAGTGGAAATAAATTAATAATGTTCGTATGTTAAATTTACAGGCCAAAAAGTATATCATGTTTTCTGTTAACAGCTTCTATTAACCAATAATATTACTGAATGATTGGTTTGCGACCAACGCAGGAATCGTGTTCCAACCTACCGCCTTCCTCCGCAGGAACCTACCGGTCTGCTGTTCGAACTGCAATGACTCTTGCTCGCCTTCTTCTTCGTCTAGCGATATACGCTTGTCTGTGAACAATGGGACACCAGAAAAGTGAATGACGTCACTGGATACGACATCGAATCCTGCCTTCTATGGTTTTCAAACTCGAGAGTTCATGCTGTACCTACGTAGATCGATTGAGATAAAGTTATATAAACATTTTTATATTATCTACAATCTTATATTAAAATCATACCCGGACCTTCCGCACAAGTTCCATTATAAAGATCTTTTTTTATTACATGTCTACACAAGATATATACCATAAAAGGAAAATAACAGCATAATATAAGATTAGATATCGCGGATAAATTACGAAATACACAAGTTAAACAATCATAATACATTTTATCACGCTCCTCGATGACTGCAAACGGAATTTTGGAAAAAATCGAAACAGATCTAAGAACCCTGACTATGGAGCGACTCTCGTGGACCCTCGTAATCTGTGGTTCTTTTCCCCTCATTAGGGAACTGAATGTAGAAGGTAATTGATACTTTCATAACCTGGCAGCATTCCCACCTGCGAATAGCTCAGTTTTTGCTGCGGCCTCGTTAGAGGTGACAATACGTAGTTACCTGTTTCCAGGTAGGAACCTACCTACCTGCCCGCTTGCCTGTCGTGGAACGTCTCGCGAACTAAAAGATAGTGCAGTTGTGGGATTATTACGGATACGATTTTTGCGAGACTAATTTTACGATATTCGATATTTGCTACGTGTGGAATTCGACAAACGTCGAGCACCGATAAATCAAATGACATACGTACTATTTTAAATCACTTGACAGAAAGTCGACATGCAATTGAAAGATCTATCGTAATTTAGAATGTCTAGTTATAGGTACGCGATTTCTGTATACTTATATCGTTTTAAAATGTTTTATGTTAAAATTATAAAAGATAATTATATTATATTTCATAAATTCCGCCAAATATAATCAAGATCGTCTAATCATTAGTTGTATCAAAGTCGATTTCTTTTACATATAAATATATATGTATCCCTTCATATACATTGTGAACAAAGTGTACTAAATTTTAATATATCACTTGTTTAAATATTACTAACTAAATATTTACTAAATATAAAGATACATTTATTTGGTACAAGAACAATTAATTTGATTTAACTATAATTTTTTTAGTAAATAAATACTCATTTATTGTAAGTACCTATATAAATATTTAGATAATACTATTCAAATAAATTTTTATTAAAATTTAATAAAATTTGTTCTCAGTTTATACATGACTTTTTAGAAGATGAAAGTTAATTTTTTAAATCTTACAGCTTTTCCTTGAGTAAAATTTGTTATAATTCAATATTTCATTGTATTTCTTGCTTCAAAATATGATATTGTTTTAGCGCCAATATAATGACGCTTTCCCATCTTATAAAAGTTAATAATATATGCTATATATGTATGTATAGTAATACCTGTTTTGATCAATTAAATCAACAATCCGAATGAAATGAATCACCAAGCAAATATTCTTCAAATTTGTCACACGGAGAAAATTTTATATTAAGTTTTAATATAATTTTAAATTACACTTTACTATGTCTTGAATTTTCGTATGGACTCTCACAACATAATTCCGACTTAACTTTTACTATGGTAATACTAATTTTTATCACATAAATAAAGTAATTATTTTGTTAAGCCATATTCTAACATGAAAATATTATAAAATTTATTATAAAAAAGTGCAAAAATTACATTGTATTATCGTTTAAAAAAAAAAAGTATAGCATTTAAACTTATAATTTACATGAAGACTGCAGCTACTACCATATTATAGTAATTTTAAATATAAAATTTTCTCCGTGCACGAATACAAATATTCGTTGTGATTCTTAAAACATGTATATATAACGCAGTTTATTGTTCAGTAATAAGCATTAAGATTAGAAATCAAATCAGATAAATGATGAAACCTTTTCTTATCCAACTTTACACTCACGAATAATTTCCAAGGCACATAGTTATGCTTCGTATCGGCCACTCTCGTTCCGCGACAACCAGATCTTTCGCGCATCCGACCGAACGATCCTATCTAATTATATAAGCCATCCGCCGCCCGATCAATGTGTGCGTGTAAGAGTTGCGCGCGAGAGTTTACAAATTAGCCTTAGTTACGAGATGCGTGTACACGAGCGTCGGCGCAACACTAATCACGGTGATTGCAGGGGAGTACAAATCGTCGGCGGGATAATATTCCGTGTAATTGGTTCAGTCCCTGTCAACCTGTCTAGCTACCGGACGATGTCTTAACCGAAACAAGCCGATACGTGTGCGTGCGAGAAGCACGCATTTTCGCAAACAATCTCGATACCTCTGTCATCCGTATCCGTTCGTGGAATCTATTACAACCCGCGATCTTGCCTTCGTGAGCAATTGAATCCTAGTGAATCGCGATCACGACAGAAAATCTGTAGTCTCGCGTCATTTCGAGTTAACGCGTGGATAATCAAGCAACCATATCAGCAAGATGTAATTTATACATACGCTGCCATAAGCGTCGCATTTAGAAAAACATGCAATATATGTCAACTTCATGCAACTTCAACTTTTTTTGCCTCATCAGTGCCGATATCATTAGTATCGTACAGGCACGCTACTTTATGTGCGAATATTCTCGCATAAGCGTTCTCATTTTTCTTGCACAATTTCTTCTTTTCTTATGAAAAGTTAAGTACCTTTCTTGGAAAATAGAATCGCATCTGTTCGCAATAGTCTTGTTCCGGATGCTCGGGTCTTACGTTCGAATCGCGTTTATTCCGTTCGTCGCTCGCTATCGATGTTCACAACCGTTCCCACGGGGGTGACAGATCTGACTAGCGTTATAAGATTTGCCCATGTAGCCAGAGGAAATGAAAGGAGGAAGAGATATATTAATAAGTTATAGCGGACCAATCGCTTGTTCTTTCTGTGGGTAGACCTAAGACCTCTCGAGACAGACCCAAGCGAAACAACAATGCACAAGCGCACCACAGGGGATCAGGGATCGAAGATTCGCTCGGGATAGATTTTGACAACACGGTCCCCAGTACCCTATATGCTAGTCGGTGGACCACACAGATCAGATAAAGGATACGTTTGAGAGACCGACTAAAGATTAACGCGATCGACTAACTTCACTCGTGTGTATGTATATCGTATTATCTTGCCGCCACTGACTTAAATGACAGGAAGTTCCCAATAGAAAATCCAAAAGAATGCTAGCATATTTGAGATAATTCAAGAATTTTGAAATAAGGTAGGCCTAAAAAGTAAACTATTAGAGGGTAAACTGTTAGAGAGTGAACTTGTTACAATTGACAGGATAAAAACTGATAAAAACGACGAAATATTTGAATATCCTATTTGTATGGTCATATTGCAACGTGTGTGTGTATGTTTGTTTAACTAAATTTTAAAAATAAATTAAAATTTTAATTATTTA